TTGATTCTGTTCCGGATGTCCTGGTTTGCTCCACCGTCCTGCCTGATGGTGCTGCACAGTTATGTGAATATTTCTATATTGGTGAGAACATGACCCTCTATCTCGACTAGTGATGGTGAGGCAATATTAAAGGTCATGATATCTGTCTTATTGCAGTTGATTTTCAATCCATTTTGTTGGCTGAATGTGTTGAGTCGAGTTGTTTTTTCTTGTATATGGTGTTGGGTATGTGATAGGAGAGCGAGAGAATCTGTGAAGTCCAAGTCTTCAAGGCATGAGAAGGGTGTCCAGTTAATGCCTCTTGGAACGTCTTCTGTTGTACGTCGCATTACCAGGGCAATGCTGAAGAGGACTGCAGACATGACACACCCCTGATGTACTCCTGTTCTGACTTCAAAACTGAGCTCACTGTGATCAACACTGCATGTGAAGTTGGAATAGATGCTTTTGATAATGTTGATTATACAATATGTTCCATAGGCCGGTCCTGTGAATGCTATCAACAGCCTTCTCAAAGTCTAAGATGTTTACGTAGAGTTGCCATTGCCATTCTAAGCATTGTTCTATTATGTTTCGTTGAGTGAAGATCTGGTCTGTGCATGCACACCCTTTCCGAAAACCGGCTTGCTCTTTTCTGAGAACGCTATCAACTGCCTCTGATATAAGCTGGACTATGATCTTACCCAATACCTTGCTTGGCACAGATAAACGTGTGATACCATGCCATTTTTTACGGATTTGATGGCTTGAATGATCTCTTGCTTTGTTGGGGTGTCTGTGTTGATATCAAGATCTTCTTCTGCCTCCTGGATGTTTGCTTCCTCTATAGGTGGATCCCTGTCCAGCAATTCTTTGAAATGCTCTGTCCAGTGCATTTCTTGTTCTTTTTCTGTTGTCAGTAGGTGGCCTTCTGTGTCCCTGATGAGAGTGTTTGTTGGTGTCTGCCGTTTACCACTGATAAGATTTTGTAGATGGTTCCTTGTTCACCATGAGCAGTTACCTCCCTGGCTTGTGTTGCTAGATTATCAATATAATGTCGATTGTCTGCTCTCACAAGGCGTTTGATCTCCCGGTGTGCCTTGCTATACTGCTCATAGTATTTGTCCTTTAGCTTCTGGGATTTTATGTTAAACTTTTTTCTTCAGGGCTCGTCTGGTTTCTATGGTGTTCCATGTGCTGAGTATAATCCACTCCTTTCTTCTCTTCTGCCTCTGGCTTAGACAGGCTTCACTGCTCTGTTCATAGATTGTTTTTACTTTGTCCCATTTCTTGTTGATCTCCTCATCTGCCTTCTCCTCCTCTTCATCAATGTCTGCAAGTGTCTGAAACCTGTTCTTTCACTGCAGAATGAAGGCTTTCTGTATTTCAGGGGACTTTAGCTTGTCAACATCATAACGTCTATGTCCCTTGTTTGGTGGCCCCACACGTCTCAGTTTTAGCTTGATGGAGGCTATCACAAGGTGGTGGCCGCTGCCAACATCTGCTCTCCTTCTCACTTTCACATTTGTCAGTGAGTGTCGCCATTTGCCATCGATCATCATATGGTCAATCTGGTTCTTATCTCTGCCATTTGGAGAACACCACGTCAGCTTGTGAATTTCACGATGTTGAAATAGGGTTCCCTCAATGACTAGATCCTTCACATTGCAGAAATCAACAAGCCTCTCTGTTTTCATTCATCGTGCCACACCCATGTCTTCCCATTCCTCTGGCACTGTTCTCCTTACCGACCTTGGCATTCAGGTCTCCCATGACGATAGGTTGTGCCGTGGTACTCCCTCTAACTCCTCCTGTAGCGTAAGGTAGAATTTGTCCTTTGCTTTTTCATCACAGTCATTTGTCGGAGCGTAGCACTGAATCAGGGTGATGTTATTGTGTTTCCCTTTCAGTCTGGCTCTCATAATTCTGCTGCAGATGGATTTCCACTCAAGCAGGGACCGCTCCACTCCCGTCTTCAAAGGATGGCAACGCTTTCATGGTGTTGTCCATCATCCCGTCCAGAATACAGCAAAGTTTCTACTGAGGCTGTTGTTAATCTTCCTGATCCTGTCCATCTGCTCTCGCTGACACCCAGGATGTGTGAGCTGTAGCGTCTCATCTCTGCTGGGACCTGAGCTAGCTTCCCTTTTCTCGTACATTGTCCGTACATTCCAAAAACCAAGTTTGGTTTTTCTCTTGGTGTTGAGCACTTCAGTCTTCATGCCAGTGGCTTCCTTTCGGCTTTCACCACTGGCAGTCATATGGGTGTTTGAATGCCATCGCACACAGTAAAGCAGCAATTCTCAAACTTCATTGCACCACAACCCCCTTCTGACAACAGAAATTACTACACGGCCCCAGGAAGAGGGACTGAAGCCTGAGCCCGCCGGTGCCCAGCCCCCATGGGCGGGGGGAGGGAAGGAGCAAAGTCCAAGTCCCACCATCCTGGGGGAGGGGCAGGGTGGGGGGCAGCAAAGCCCAAGCGCTGAAGCCAAAGCCCAAGCCCCATTCCCCAGGGACAACGTCTTTGGGCTTTGGCCCAGGGGGGCGTGGCTCGGGCTTCGGCCCTGGACCCCAGCATGTCTAAATACCAGACCAGGCGACCCCATTAAAACCGGGTCGCGACGCACTTTGGGGTCCCGCCCCACAGTTTGAGAACTGCTGCAGTGAAGGTCGATTTCTCAGCTGCTGTTTCCATAACATATTTTGTTTTTTACGAGCCAGGATGCCTGTTTTGTCTGGCCGGTTGACTCTGCATTGTGGGCTATGGAAGCCCCGCCCACCAAGCCCTACTGGGCATGCTCCAAATGTAGCAGGAGTATAAAGGGGAGAAGCTCAGCTCAGCCTGGGCTGACAACTGAAGAGGAAGGACACTCGCTGCAGGCTCCAGACCAGGAAGCCCCAGAGGCTCTGACAGCAGGAGCAAGGGCCACCGAGACCCAGGTGGAGACCCAGACTCCAGCAGATATCTGGGAAAACCCAGGATCGCTGGGAGCCTCCACACTGACAAATCCAGGAACCTTGCAGACGCCCAAAACATGACTACCAGAGACGTAGTAGGAAGTAGCCGAGGGAGGATGCCAGTTGAAGGGTTGAGAACACTCAGCATGTTGCAGTCGGCTCCCTGCTGACTCAATAGCAGAGACACTTGCCACAGACAGGGCCCTGGGCTGGGACCTGGTGGAGCAGGAGGGCCTGGGTCCCCCTACCCCGGCCTCCACGCACCCCAAGGTGGCAACCCATTGTCCTTGACATTGATCCTGGCTACTAGGCCATAGCACCATGAGGATCAGGGCAACCCAAATGACTCTGGCCATTAGGCCTTATTGCCCTACGGATAAAGGCAATCCTATAGACCAGGGATCATAGAATCATAGAATATCAGGGTTGGAAGGGACCTCAGGAGGTCATCTAGTCCAACCCCCTGCTCAAAGCAGGACCAATCCCCAATTAAATCATCCCAGGCAGGGCTTTGTCAAGCCGGACCTTAAAAACTTCTAAGGAAGGAGATTCTACCATCTCCCTAGGTAACGCACTCCAGTGTTTTACCACCCTCATAGTGAAAAAGTTTTTCCTAATATCCAACCTAAACCTCCCCCACTGCAACTTGAGACCATTACTCCTTGTCCTGTCATCTTCTACCACTGAGAATAGTCTAGAACCATCCTCTTTGGAACCCCCTTTCAGGTAGTTGAAAGCAGCTATCAAATCCCCCCTCATTCTTCTCTTCTGCAGACTAAACAATCCCAGTTCCCTCAGCCTCTCCTCATAAGTCATGTGTTCCAGACCCCTAATCATTTTTGTTGCCCTTCGCTAGACTCTCTCCAATTTTTCCACATCCTTCTTGTAGTGTGGGGCCCAAAACTGGACACAGTACTCCAGATGAGGCCTCACCAATGTTGAATAGAGAGGAACGATCACGTCCCTCGATCTGCTGGCTATGCCCCTACTTATACATCCCAAAATGCCATTGGCCTTCTTGGCAACAAGGGCACACTGTTGACTCATATCCAGCTTCTCGTCCACTGTCACCCCTAGGTCCTTTTCCGCAGAACTGCTGCCTAGCCATTCGGTCCCTAGTCTGTAGCGGTGCATGGGATTCTTCCGTCCTAAGGGCAGGACTCTGCACTTGTCCTTGTTGAACCTCATCAGATATCTTTTGCCCCAATCCTCCAATTTGTCTAGGTCCCTCTGTAACCTATCCCTACCTGCCACTGTATCTACCACTCCTCCTGGTTTAGTATCATCTGCAAATTTGCTGAAAGTGCAATCTATACCATCCTCCAGATCATTTATGAAGATATTGAACAAAACCAGCCCCAGGACCGACCCTTGGGGCACTCCACTTGATACCGGCTGCCATCTAGACATGGAGCCATTGATCACTACCTGTTGAGCCCGACAATCTAGCCAACTTTCTACCCACCTTATAGTGCATCCATCCAGCCCATACTTCTTTAACTTGCTGACAAGAATACTGTGGGAGACCGTGTCAAAAACTTTGCAACCTTTGGCATGTAGCCCATCAGGGAAAGTCACTGGCAGGCTGGGCCGGTTTGTCTACCTGAGGCGTCCGCAGGTTCGGCCGATCGCAGCTCCCACTGGCTGCAGTTCGCCATCCCTGGCCAATGGGGGCTGCAGGAAGAAGCAGCCAGAACATCCCTCGGCCTGCGCCACTTCCCTGGTAAAGGGGTGATACCACTTTGCAAGTCTGAGCTGGTGAGTTTGGAGTAGGTTCAGTGTTTTAGTCCCAGTCAGGGGTCAGAAGCTTCTGTTCTTTATGCTGGACCTAAATTCAAGTTTGGCCTTAGCAAAGTGAAGTTGTTAGACTTTGTGCTGAACTGCCCCTGTGAAATGTTCCCAGACTGTACTGTAGCAGGGAGGGCAGAGTGTTAGTATGTGGGCCACTGGCTTGTCGGGGTGAAGCTGAAATAGGACAGAGAAGAGGTTGCATTGTGGGGTGTTGTGAACCATAACTCTGCATTTCCCCTTCTAAGAACCGAGGGGACAGGAATCCTTACCCAGCGAGGTCACACTCTCATAGTTCTCCTGCATGACGTCTCTGCAGAGGGCTCTCTGAGCGGGGTCCAGCAGAGCCCACTCTTCCCTGGTGAAATACACAGCCACCTCCTCGAAGGTCACCGGCCCCTGAAAGAGAAAGAGTCCAACAGTCAGTACCTGCTGCCCCACTCACAGCCCCACTATTCAATGGGGAAAGGAGCCAATCAAATGGATGCTCTGGGTGGCTTGCAGTCAACAGAGTCCTACCCACACACCGCTCATAGGAGCAGCCATTACTAGGTCAGACCAAAGGTCCATTTAGCCCAGTATCTTCTAACAGTGGCCAATGCTAGGTCCTTCAGAGGGAATGAACAGAACAGGTAATCGTCAGTGATCTATCCCCTGTTGCCCATTCCCAGCTTCTGGCAAACAGGGGCTAGGGACACGATCCCTGCCCATCCAAGCTAATAGCCATTGATGGACCTAGCCTGCATGAACTTATCAAGTATTAGAGCATCCAGAAAACATCAGGGTGAGGGGACGAAGAGAGAGCCCCTCCTCTCTCAGCAGATCCATCACACACCTACTAGCCAGAGACTGATACAGCTGATGCTAGCAGATTAGGGTTGGTAGAAACCTCAGGAGGTATTTAGTCCAACTCCCTGATCAAAGCAGGACCAACCTCAACTAAATCATCCCAGCCAGGGCTTTGTCAAGCCAGGCCTTAAAAACCTCTAAGGATGGAGATTCCACCACGTCCCCAGGTAACTCATTCCAAGGCTTTACCACCCTCCTAGTGAAATAGTTTTTCCTAATATCCAACCTAGATCTCCCCCATTGCATCTTGAGACCATTGCTCCTTGTTCTGTCATCTGCATCACTGAGAACAGCTGAGCTCCATCCTCTTTGGAACCCCCCTTCAGGTAGTTGAAGGCTGCTATCAAATCCCCCCTCACTCTTCTCTTCTGCAGACTAAATAAGCCAAGTTCCCTCAGCCTCTCCTCATAAGTCATGTGCCCCAGCCCCCTAATTATTGTCGTTGTCCTCCGCTGGACTCTCTCCAATTTGTCCACCTCCTTTCTGTAGTGGGGCACCCAAAACTGGAAGCAGTACTCCAGGTGTGGGCTCACGAGTGCTGAATAGAAGGGAATAATCACTTCCCTCGATCTGCTGGCAATGCTTCTACTAATGCAGACCAATAGGCTGTTAGCCTTCTTGGCAACTAGGGCACACTGCTGACTCATATCCAGCTTCTCATCTGGACCCTATCCCTACCCTCCAGTGTATCTACCTCTACCCCCAGCTTAGTGTCATCCGCAAACTTTCTGAGGGTGCAATCCATCCCATCATCCAGATCATTAATGAAGATGTTGAAAAAACTGGCTCCAGAACCGACCCGTGAGGCACTCCGCTTGATACTGGCTGCCATCTAGACATCAAACCGTTGATCACTACCCGTTGAGCCCAATGATCTAGCCAGGTTTCTGTCCACCTTATAGTCCATTCATCCAGCCCATACTTCTTTAGCTTGCTGGCAAGAATACTGTGCGAGATCGTATCAAAAGCTTTGCTAAAGTCCAGACATATCATGTCCAATGCTTTTCCCATATCCACAGAGTCAGTTATCTCATCGTAGAAGGCAATCAGGTTGGTCAGGCATGACTTGCCCTTGGTGAATCCATGTTAACTGTTCCTGATCACCGTCCTCTCCTCCAAGTGCTTCAAAATGGATTCCTCAAGGACCTACTCCATGATTTTTCCAGGGACTGAGGTGAGGCTCATCAGTCTGTAGTTCCCCAGATTCTCCTTCTTCCCTTTTTTAAAGATGGGCACTACATTAGCCTTTTTCCAATCGTCTGGGACCTCCCCCGATCGCCATGAGTTTTCAAAGATAATGGCCAATGGGTCTGCAATCACATCCGCCAACTCCCTCAGCACCCTCGGATGCATTGCATCCAGCCCCATGGACTTGTGTATGTCCAGCTTTTCTAAATAGCCCTTAACCTGTTCTTTCACCATGGAGGGCTGCTCACCCCTCCCCATACTGTGCTGCCCAGTGCAGCAGTCTGGGAGCTGCCCTTGTCTGTGAAGACCGAGGCAAAAAGAGCATTGAGTACTTCAGCTTTTTCCACATTATCTGTCACTAGGTTGACTCCCCCATTCAGTAAGGGTCCCACACTTTTCCCTTGTTGCTGACATACCTATGGAAACCCTTCTTGTTACCCTTCGCTTCCCCTGCTAGCTGCAACTCCAGTTGTGATTTGGCCTTCCTGATTACACCCCTGCACACTCGAGCACATATTTATACTCCTCCCTAGTCATCTGTCCAAGTTTCCATTTCTTGTAAGCTTCCTTTTTGTGTTTAAGCTCACCAAAGATTTCTCTGTTAAGCCAAGCTGGTTGCCTGCCATATTTGCTATTCTTTCTACACATCGGGATGGTTTGTTTCTGCATCCTCAATAAGGCCTCTTTAAAATACAGCCAGCTCTCCTGGACTCCCTTCCCCCTCATGTTATTCTCCCAGGGGATCCTGCCCATCAGTTCCCTCAGGGAGTCTAAGTCTGCTTTTCTGAAGTCCAAGGTCCGTATTCTGCTGCTCTCCTTTCTTCCTTTTGTCAGGATCCTGAAGTTGACCATCTGTAGATCACTGCTGCCCAGGTTGTCACTCACTTCTACTTCCCCTACTAATTTTTCCCTGTTTGTGAGCAGCAGGTCAAGAGGAGCATGGCTCCTAGCCGGTTCCTCCAGCACTTGCACCAGGAAGTTGTCCCCAGCATTCTCCAAAAACTTTCTAGATTGTCTGTGCCCTGCTGTATTGCTCTCCCAGCAGATGTCAGGGTGATTGAAGTCCCCCATGAGAACCAGGGCCTGTGATCTGGAAACTTCTGTTAGTTGTCTGAAGAAAGCCTCGTCTACCTCATCCTCCTGGTCTGGTGGTCTATAGCAGATGCCCACCAAGACATCACCATGACATGGGTAGGAAGCCCAACACCCTCCTCATTGTGAGGAACTGGATATGAGGGAAGAGTCATCTCCCCTAAGCCTGACTGGTGGGTGCCCCCTTCATATCTCACAGCAGCTGCTGGTTAGTCAGGTCAGGCTCCAGCACTGGGAGTCTGGCCACTTTTCCTAGCCCCATCTAGGTGGGTTGTTTCCTCTTCCACAATTTAGGACATTTCCACCTCCGAACCTCATGAATCTGTTCCTAGACTCTAAGCCACTTATTAAACTAGTCCCGGAAGGTTTGCCACACCCTGGTCTCCTCCCTTTCTCCACCCTGGGCATTTCCTGCCCTGCTCCAAAATACAAACCAAACTTCCCATCTCCGGTGTATTTGCTGTCCCTCTCCCTCCAGCAGAAACCCACCAGCCACCCCCCGATAAGCCCTACCTGAGCTGGCATTTCTCTCCCCTGTCCCGTGGGAGGATGGGGTGAGCTGGAGCGAGACGTGGGCATCGTTCTGCAGCCTGGCAGGGCGAGAAGGGCAGTTGTGGAGGTTTCAGAACAGGCTTTAGTTCATTTCACATCTCAATTCCCCCAGGCCCTTTTCCTGCAGAGAGACACCCTAGAGTCTGCCAGACAGGGAGAGAACAGGGGAAGCACTAGAGGGAATTTCTATCAGCATTTGAGAGGAAGTGGCAGAGACAGGGAAAGCATGGGTGGAGGATGAAGCTTCTCCTGGGGGAGGCTAGCTCCCTGCCTCACCTCTCCAGCCCCAGGCTCCCCCCCCTTCACCCCATCTCTCCTCTCCTCTTCCCCCTTCTCCCTGGGGAGAGGGATAGGATGCGGAGGGACAGAGTGGACGGGGAGTCTTGTGAGGGAGGGGGAATCAGGAGGGACCAGGCATGCCAGTGGGGTCTCAAGGGGAAGGGGATGTGAGGAGGAACCTGGTAGGTGCGGGGGGGGGGGTATGGTAAGGGAGGGGGGCGAGGCGGGACTCTGCAGGCGGGGAGGCAGTTCTCGCAGGGAAGGGGGGGTAAGGAGGGACCCGGCGGCCAGGGGAGGGTCTGGCACTGGAGGGGGGCGAGGAGGGACCCAGCAGGTCGGGGCGGTTCTGACGGGGCAAGGCAGGACCTGGCTGGCTGGCAGGGATGGGGTCTCGCCGGGAAGAGGGGGTGAGGAGGGACCTGGCAGGTGAGGAGGGACCTGGCGGGCAGGGGAGGGGGTCTCACAGGGAAGAGGAGGGGTGAGGTAGGACCCGGCGGGCGGGTCTGTTTGGGGATCTCCCAAGGAAGGTGGGGTATGGAGGGACCCAGCAGGCAGAGGAGGGTCTAGTGGGGGAGGGGGGACGAGGCATGACCCGGTTGGCAGGGTGGGGGTCTCAAAGGGAAGCGGGGGTGAGGAGGGACCTGGCAGGCGGCGGGGGTCTGGTGGAGGAGGGGGGACAAGCCAGAACCCCGGAGAGGGTCTTGCACAGAACAGGGGGGTGAGGTGGGACACGGAGGGTGGGGGAGCGAGGCGGGACCAGGAGGGTGTCTCGGAAGAAAAGGGGGGTGAAGAGGGACCCAGCAGGCAGGGGAGAGTCTGGCAGGGGATGGGGGACGAGGTGGGACCCGGCAGGTGTAGGGTACTGACATGGCCGGGGGGGTGAGGAGGGACCCGGCAGGTGGGGGGGATCTGACAGGGGACTGGGGTCGAGCCGGGACCCGGGAGAGGGTCTTGCAGGGAAGGGGGTGTGAGGTGGGACTCGGCAGGTGGGGGCGAGGTCTGATGTGGGAGGGCAGGGACGTATCCCAGCAGGGGGGGGGGAAGTAATGGGGCATCCCAATGGGGGATGGAGAGGAAGGGGGTATACCGCAGGCGGGGGGATGGGGAGGAAGGGGTCTCCCATGGGCGGGGGGGGGTATCCTAGCGGGGGGGACGGAGGGGGTCTCCTGCAGGCGGGGGGAGGAAGGGTATCCCGGCGGGGGGGGACAGTGGGGATCTGGCGGGCGGGGGGAGGAAGGGGTATCCCAGCGGGGGATGGGGAGGAAGGGGTCTCCCGCGGGCAGGAGGGTATCCCGGCAGGGGGGGCGGAGGGGGTATCCGGCGGGCGGGGGGAGGAAGGGGTCTCCCGCGGGCAGGGGGGTATCCCGGCGGGGGGGGACACGGAGGAGTATCCGGCGGGCGGGGGGGAAGGTATATCCCGGCGGGGGGGGGAGGAAGGGGTCTCCCGCGGGCAGGGGGGTATCCCGGCGGGGGGGACGGAGGGGTATCCGGCGGGCGGGGGGGAGGAAGGGGTCTCCCGCGGGCAGGGGAGGTACCCCGGCGGGGGGGGGACGGAGGGGGTATCCGGCGGGCGGGGGGGGAGGAAGGGGTATCCCGCGGGCAGGGGGGTATCCGGCGGGCGGGGGGAGGAAGGGGTATCCCGGTGGGGTGGTGGCAGAGGGATATCCGGCGGGGGGGGAGGAAGGGGTATCCCGGCGGGGGGGACGGAGGGGTATCCGGCGGGCGGGGGGGAGGAAGGGGTCTCCGGGGGGGACGGAGGGGTATCCGGCGGGCGGGGGGGAGGAAGGGGTATCCCGCGGGCAGGGGGGTATCCGGCGGGCGGGGGGAGGAAGGGGTATCCCGGCGGGGGGGGGGACGGAGGGGTATCCGGCGGGCGGGGGGAGTAAGGGGTCTCCCGCGGGCAGGGAGGTATCCCGGGGGGGGGGGACGGAGGGGGTATCTGGCGGGCGGGGGGAGGAAGGGGTATCCCGGCGGGGGGGGACGGAGGGGTATCCGGCGGGCGGGGGGAGTAAGGGGTCTCCCGCAGGCAGGGAGGTATCCCGGCGGGGGGGGGGGGGGACGGAGGAGTATCCGGCGGGCGGGGGGAGGAAGGGGTCTCCCGCGGGCAGGGGGGTATCCCGGCGGGGGGGGACGGAGGGGTATCTGGTGGGCGGGGGGAGGAAGGGGTATCCCGGTGGGGGGGGACGGAGGGGTATCCGGCGGGCGGGGGGAGGAAGGGGGTCTCCCGCAGGCTGGGAGGTATCCCGGCGGGGGGGGGGGGGACGGAGGAGTATCCGGCGGGCGGGGGGAGGAAGGGGTCTCCCGCGGGCAGGGGGGTATCCCGGCGGGGGGTGACGGAGGGGTATCTGGCGGGCGGGGGGAGGAAGGGGTATCCCGGCGGGGGGGGGGAGGAAGGGGTCTCCCGCGGGCAGGGGGTATCCCGGCGCGGGGGGGAGGAAGGGGTCTCCCGCAGGCTGGGAGGTATCCCGGCGGGGGGGGGGAGGAAGGGGTCTCCCGCGGGCAGGGGGGTATCCCGGCGGGGGGGGGACGGAGGGGTATCTGGCGGGCGGGGGGAGGAAGGGGTATCCCGGCGGGGGGGGGGAGGAAGGGGTCTCCCGCGGGCAGGGGGGTATCCCGGCGGGGGGGGACGGAGGGGTATCCGGCGGGCGGGGGAAGGAAGGGGTCTCCCGCGGGCAGGGGGGTACCCCGGCGGGGGGGGACGGAGGGGTATCCGGCGGGCGGGGGGAGGAAGGGGTATCCCGCGGGCAGGGGGGTATCCCGCGGGCGGGGGGAGGAAGGGGTATCCCGGCGGGGGGGGACGGAGGGATATCCGGCGGGCGGGGGGACGGAGGGATATCCCGGCGGGGGGGGACGGAGGGGTATCCGGCGGGCGGGGGGAGGAAGGGGTACCCCGGCGGGGGGGACGGAGGGGTATCCGGCGGGCGGGGGGAGGAAGGGGTATCCCGCGGGCAGGGGGGTATCCGGCGGGCGGGGGAGGAAGGGGTCTCCCGCGGGCAGGGAGGTATCCCGGCGGGGGGGGGGACGGAGGGGTATCTGGCGGGCGGGGGGAGGAAGGGGTATCCCGGCGGGGGGGGACGGAGGGGTATCCGGCGGGCGGGGGGAGTAAGGGGGTCTCCCGCAGGCAGGGAGGTATCCCGGCGGGGGGGGGACGGAGGAGTATCCGGCGGGCGGGGGGAGGAAGGGGTCCCCGCGGTAGGGGGTATCCCGGCGGGGGGGGACGGAGGGGTATCTGGCGGGCGGGGGGAGGAAGGGGTCTCCCGCGGGCAGGGGGTATCCCGGCGGGGGGGGACGGAGGGGTATCCGGCGGGCGGGGGGAGGAAGGGGTCTCCCGCGGGCAGGGGGGTATCCGGCGGGCGGGGGGAGGAAGGGGTCTCCCGCGGGCAGGGGGTATCCCGGCGGGGGGGGACGGAGGGGTATCCGGCGGGCGGGGGGAGGAAGGGGTCTCCCGCGGGCAGGGGGGTATCCCGGCGGGGGGGGGACGGAGGGGTATCTGGCGGGCGGGGGAGGAAGGGGTCTCCCGCGGGCAGGGGGGTATCCGGCGGGCGGGGGGAGGAAGGGGTATCACGGCGGGCGGGGGGGGACCCCCGGAGAGGGGGCGCAGCGGGCCCGGAGGGGTCTCACCAGGCCGCGGCGTGGCCCGGGGATGGGGCGGAGCAGGGCCGGGAAGAGGCGGACCCAGAGCCCGGCGTGGGGTTCAGGGGCTCTCTGCGCCCCCAGGGCAAGCGGGGCCAGACCCCCGAGTGCAACGGCGGAGCCTCCCCCGCGACCCACCTTTGTGCTCGGGGAATCTGCCCTGCCAGGTCAGCCCCTGCCTTTAATTCCCTTCTGCCCCTTCCCCCGGGCATGTCCTGGCTGCACAGAGACGGTTCAGCATCCCCGCCCCCCCCCCCAAGCTCCGGCTTCTCCCCTCCTGACGCCTCCCCCCATCCCAGCCGTGCCGGGGCCGACCCCCGGGGGCTGCAGCGTCTGGGGCTCCCGGGGCAGAGAGTCACTTTCCTGCCCGGCCCCAGCGCTTCCCCCGGGGGCTCTCGGGCACCTGGAGTCTCTGGCTCCGGAGCGGACGAGGGCAGAGCCTGGGGCTGGCTCCCCCCCGCCCCTTTGTTCTCCCGGAGTCCTGCCTCCAGCTGCTCCTGCCCCTTCCTGTGTGTCCTGCAGATACCAACCCGGGCTGCCTCTGTCTCCCTGCCGCCCGAGGGGACAGCAGGGGAAGGGGTGTAAACCAAAGCAGCCTGTATTCACACCCTGCACCCTATTGTAATAATCTGCCTGCCAACAGGCCTTGTGAGGTAGCCTTTGAAAAGTAACAACTAAGTAACAACCTTAAACTTAGTCCTTCTCCTTTCTTACTTACAACACTCCTGCTAATACATCTGTCCTGGGGTGTGGGGAAGTCCAGGCCCTGCACCCCCCACTTCCTGCGATTCCCGGGACTCTCAGCCAGCCAGTAATACAGAAGGTTTATTAGACAGCAGGAACATGGTCTAAAACCAAGCTTGTTGATACAGAAAACAGGACCCCTCAGTCAGGTCCATCTGGGGGCTGGGGAGCCCAGACCCAGGTTCTGGGCCTCCCCCCGTCTCCCCAGCCAACTCCAACCTGAAACCCCTCCAGCCCCTCCTCTGGATTTTGTCTCTTCTCCGAGCAAGGAGGCCACCTGATCTCTGTTCTCCCACACTTTCAGCTGGCACCTTGCAGGAGAGGGGCCCAGGCCATCAGTTGCCAGGAAACAGGGTGTCGGCCATTCTCTGTGCAGACAGCATCACACCTGCCCTCTAGGGCTCTGCAACAATCACACCCCCTTATCCCACCACCTAGGTACTTAAGAAATGCATAGGGGAAACTGAGGCACCCACACTGTATTCAGAGAAAACATTAACATTCCTGCTTCATCACAACATCCCAGAATGATGTTGGCTTTTTTCCCTTGTATGATGTTCCTTGTTCAAAATCAGGCCTGCCTGCCTAGGTAAAAGTTATTAAACAGGCTTGTCCTAAGCAAAGAATGTGCATCTGTCTAAGTAGCAAACTGACCCATCAAGTCAGCAGGGGGAGGAGATTGCAGGAGACTGAAGAATTTGGGTTTCTTGCCAGATCCTGGGCCTTGGTCAGGGTTATCTTACACTTCTCTGGCGCAGAATCCTTTACCAAACCACCCCAACACTCAGCAGTGCCAGTGAGGAATGGCATCCCCAAATGTGATCAGTTTATTTCTTTAATCTGATCATGGCACAGGTCTAAATGAGGGACTAGAGACAGGCAAAACCACCACTTCTGTTTCCTCCACATCTGCCTAATTAGGGATAGTAGTTCCCATAGCATAGGATTCAATAGGAGAGATTCAGGAGTAACCTCCTGTAAGACCCCGGGTCACAACTGCTTTGGGAACCAAATACATGGGCATTTTGCGTACTTGGAAGTCTCTTACTATGGAAGTCCCTCGTGAGATCATCTGAGACAACATTGATCTACACAACTGCCATTGATTCGTGTTGTCCCAGAGAGCCGGAACAGGAGTACCAGGGGCCTTCAGTCCTGGTGGGTCGGGTCTCATGTGCATGCCCCGCAAGCAAGCATCCCTGGAGTAGAGTGCATCTCTTCAGGAAGTCAGGAGTGCTCGTGAGGCTCAAAGACTGACTTGGGGGTTAGACAGGACCACTGAGATATTTGGGGATGGGGAACCTTACTCCCTTCAGTCACTCTGGGATGGTAACTCTGCTCCCAGCTGTTAGGCGGCTTCCAGCTTACTAGCTCCATGGTTATGTGTCACCGCCTTTGCTAGCACCCATAACACACGGGAAAGCTGCCCACACTAGCTGTAGAGTGGTGAGCCTAGTTGCCTTTGAAGCAGTGGACCTGGGTTTGATTCCCAGCCAATGCAATAATGGCTTTTCTCCTTTGTTGTTTCCTTGTCTGGAAGTGGTATAATTTCAGTCACATTGTGCTATAATCACATTATTAATAGAATGAGACAATACATTTCTCAAAGCCCAGCAGATCATAGAGGATGGAGGCATACAAGGGGCTGGAATGTGTCATCTGAGAAAGACAGAACACTTGGAAACCTGCTTCTCCCATCCCCTTGCCTTCTGTGTTATGTTTGTATTATGTTCCTGAATGATGGGGAAATAAAGTTTTGGGTCAGTTTTTGCTCCTGCAGATTCCTTTGCTGTTACAATTATGACATGAATAAAAGGGAGGGAATCATAGAATATCAGGGTTGGAAGGGACCTCAGGAGGTCATCTAGTCCAACCCCCTGCTCAAAGTAGGACCAATCATAGAATCATAGAATCACAGAATATCAGGGTTGGAAGGGACCTCAAGAGGTCATCTAGTCCAACCCCCTGCTCAAAAGCAGGACCAATCCCCAATTAAATCATCCCAGCCAGGGCTTTGTCAAGCCTGACCTTAAAAACTTCTAAGGAAGGAGATTCCACCACCTCCCTAGGCAACGCATTCCAGTGTTTCACCACCCTCCTAGTGAAAAAGATTTTCCTAATATCCAACCTAAACCTCCCGCACTGAACTTGAGACCATTACTCCTTGTTCAGTCATCTGCTACCACTGAGAACAGTCTAGATCCATCCTCTTTGGAACCCCCTTTCAGGTAGTTGGAAGCAGCTTTCAAATCCCCCCTCATTCTTCTCTTCCTCAGACTAAACAATCCCAGTTCCCTCGGCCTCTCCTCATAAGTCATGTGTTCCAGACCCCTAATCATTTTTGTTGCCCTCCGCTGGACTCTTTTCAATTTTTCCACATCCTTCTTGTAGCGTGGGGCCCAAAACTGGACACAGTACTCCAGATGAGGCCTCACCAATGTCAAATAGAGGGGAACGATCACGTCCCTCAATCTGCTGGCAATGCCCCTACTTATACATCCCAAAATGCCATTGGCCTTCTTGGCAACAAGGGCACACTGTTGACTCATCTCCAGCTTCTCGTCCACTGTCACCCCTAGGTCCTTTTCCGCAGAACTGCTGCCGAGCCATTCAAAAGTGTTGCTAAAGTCAAAGAATAACACGTCCATTGCTTTCCCCTCATCCACAGAGCCAGTTATCTCATCATAGAAGGCAATTAGATTAGTCAGGCATGACTTGCCCTTGGTGAATTCATGCTGACTGTTCCTGATCACTTTCCTCTCCTCTAAGTGCTTCAGGTCATGCTCCATGATTTTTCCAGGGACTGAGGTGAGGCTGACTGGCCTGTAGTTCCCAGGATCCTCCTTCTTCCCCTTTTTAAAGATGGGCACTACATTAGCCTTTTTCCAGTCGTCCGGGACTTCCCCCGATCGCCATGAGTTTTCAAAGATAATGGCCAATGGCTCTGCAATCTCATCCGCCAACTCCTTTAGCACTCTCGGATGCAGCACATCCGGCCCCATGGACTTGTGCTCGTCCAGCTTTTCTCTACAGTCCCAAACCACTTCTTTCTCCACAGAGGGCTGGTCACCTCCTCCCCCTGTTGTGCTGCCCAGTGCAGCAGTCTGGGAGCTGACCTTGTTCGTGAAGACAGAGGCAAAAAAAGCATTGAGTACATTAGCTTTTTCCACATCCTCTGTCACTAGGTTGCCTCCCTCATTCAGTAAGGGGCCCACACTTTCCTTGACTTCCTTCTTGTTGCTAACATACCTAAAGAAACCCGTCTTGGTACTCTTAACATCTCTTGCAACTCCAGGTGTGATTGGGCCTTCCTGATTTCTCTCCTGCATGCCCGAGCAATATTTTTATACTCCTCCCTGGTCATTTGTCCAATCTTCCACTTCTTGTAAGCTTCTTTTTTGTGTTTAAGATCAGCAAGGATTTCACTGTTAAGCCAACCGGCTCGCCTGCCATATTTACTATTCTTTCTACACATTGGGATGGTTTGTCCCTGTAACCTCAATAAGGATTCTTTAAAATACAGCCAGCTCTCCTGGACTCCTTTCCCCCTCATGTTATTCTCCCAGGGGATCCTGCCCATCAGTTCCCTGAGGGAGTCAAAGTCTGCTTTTCTGAAGTCCAGGGTCCATATTCTGCTGCTCTCCTTTCTTCCCTGTGTCAAGATCCTGAACTCGACCATCTCATGGTCACTGCCTCCCAGGTTCCCATCCACTTTTGCTTCCCCTACTAATTCTTCCCGGTTTGTGAGCAGCAGGTCAAATAGAGTTCTGAACCTAGTTGGTTCCTCCAGCACTTGCACCAGGAAATTGTCCCCTACACTTTCCAAAAGCTTCCTGGATTGTCTGTGCACCGCTGTATTGCTCTCCCAGCAGATATCAGGGTGATTGAAGTCTCCCATGAGAACCAGGGCGTGCAATCTAGTAACTTCCGTGAGTTGCTGGAAGAAAGCCTCGTCCACCTCATCCCCCTGGTCCGGTGGTCTATAGCAGACTCCCACCACCACCCTTCTTGCTCACACTTCTAAACTTAATCCAGAGACTCTCAGGTTTTTCTGCAGTTTCATACTTGAGCTCTGGGCAGTCATACTGCTCCCTTCCATACAGTGCAACTCCCCCACCTTTTCTGCCTTGCCTGTCCTTCCTGAACAGTTTAAAGCAGCTGAAACCGAAAGCAGCTTGTTTTTTCTCTGCTTTGCGGCCAAGCAGAGACAAAAGGGGATTATCTTTGTGAATTGCAGATTTTCTTTGCCTGGAGGCAGGGTACTTAACTCCTGCAGGGAAATTCACAGTCTTCCAACCCAGAGGTTTTTTTCCCTAAAAGTAAATGGGGGGGTGGTGTTCTACCCATTTGCCTGGAGACAAAAGTGGCAAGGGTTTTTTTTTTTTTTGGATTTTGATTTTTTACAAGGAGCACAAGTTTAAAAAGGAAACTTTTTTTTCCTTTGGGCTGCTGGTAAGCAGGTTTCCAAGTAGTTGGAGGTTTTTTGCTTTGATTTGGGCCCAGAGCAGAGACAAGGGAATTGTCTTTTTCTGTAGGCTGACAATCACTATCAGAGAATAGGTATTCTATTCCAGCACAGCAAAATTTTACAGCCAAGTTTTGTTGTTTATTTCTAAACCTCGGGTGTAAAGTTAGTTAAAAACAGAGAGGTT